TACAGTAAGTAACGCCCGAGCTTTTTGGTTTTTATGGTTATTTGCCCTGTTTTAGCCATATGGTAATGAATTTTTATACTTATTCATACATGACTTCAATTTTCATTACAAATTATAACCTATTATCAAGAGAAGCTACCATATGTTGCTAATACAGCCTTATGAGAGCATCCACAATTTTATATTTTAGTTTTCTAGTTATATTTGTTGATATATTTTTCACCAAGTTTATAAATATTCATTACAGAAGAAATTTATAAACGAGTCCCAATTAAACAGGCGCTGGAGATTCTTTGGACTTAATGCAATATTTTTTTATTTGAACGCACTTTTTGCGAAACCATTATCATAAATTATACCTAGGCTTTACCATTCGCAAAGATCGAATTCACTCATGCTTAGACGAAGCAATTAAGCGTAGTAAACATTTTCATTATCTACGAAGCAATTGTGAGCTTCAGATTTTGGGCTCACAAAAAGAGTTGATGCTTGTTATTTTTCGGCATGAAGCACCTTTCACTGATGAATGTTTTGAATTCGAAGAGTTGATGTGGGAATTTTGGAAGGTCATCGAAGATAGATATTATTGAAAATTCACTCATAAAAGAATAGGAAAGTACAAAATTCATACGGATATATTTAAAAATCATGTGGAATAATTATTTACGTGGCAGACTGGCATCGAAATCAGGAGAGTTATTCAAACTCCTTGATGTAGAGCATTTCTGGGAAAAACACGTTGACTTTCACGGGACTATTTCCAATTCAGTAAAATATAGATGTGTTGAATTGTCACTCTGCAAACTTTCTTATCATTTTTCATTTTAGGAGTGTAATAGTTATCCAACTAGACTAATATATTGAGTTAGCTATCATATGAGTTGTCTCGAAAACCTACACTTACGAAAAAAGTTAAATCATTAATTTGTCCGGTTTGTGGTAAGGATAGAGCAGATTATGATGTATTATTGACTTATCCAGAGACCCAATTACACCTCGACTAAATGTTTCATAAATGCTTGTTTCTGCCTTCGGAGATATCTCTCACACGATTGGCTAAATCCCAGCACGGATTTATAGAGGTTGTTATATAAATTTTACTATCGCTTCCCTGTGAGGATAATTTATAAACCTTTACATACATGCATACCAACACACATATAGAAAAAGAGGGGAAAATCTCTTAATCCTTTCTATCTCGGATAAACTTTGCAGGTTATCCTCTTCTTATCGGGAGCCTTTATACTTACGATATCTTCGCCGCTACTCCATGTTGTTCAGCTCGACTGTTGTGTAATGTCTGTGGTCAATTCGTCTTGTCGGCAAATCGTCTTCAGGACCACTCTCCGCCCGGCAGTCAACGGAAATGGACACTTTCTTCTACCGTCACTTCTGATGACTCAGGTGCGGTGCTCAGTCAGTCCGGCATGTCCGGCGATGGGCCAATTACCAGCGAAACCCCGCTTCCTTATTACAGCCAATATAGTCTTGCCTACTCCTGTCGGCAATGTGGTAACCAGGCCTACCACTTCGTAAAGCCATTTGAGACCAGCTTTATTTTTGTAGACCATTAATATCTCCGACCAAACGTCTCAATTGCTTACCCTGTTGGATTAATTGAACTTCTGGTAGACATTTTCTACCATCTAATTTATTCGACTACCTCTCCCTTATTAACCTTAGTAATTCATTTGATCTGAAGAGTTACTGCCCTAAATAATAACCAGACCTGACAAACATCCAACTATCTTTAGTCAAAGTAAGCTCCGTACATGTTGTATATTCGGAACTTTACCTTTTCACTATTCTGAGCTCTGATTTCTTCCTCACGGGGTTAAGTTTTTTGTTTTATAGGCCATTTTGTAAATACACAAATTTGGTCATTTTCATACTAGGTTAATTTTATCTGTTTTTATAGGTCAGTCACTTGTATCTCTCTTCTTTGATTTATAACCCATCGTATCCCATTCACTTGCATAGGTTGTTCATTCACATAGCTTTTTGTCGTTCTACCACTATCAATTATTTCACTTCGAATGTATTTTGCTATCATTAAGTGAGAGTATTACTACACCTCTCCATGTGTACGAATATATTCCTCGAACCATAGCTGGCTAAAATCAGCTTCCAAGCAAATTATTTCTAGGTTTAGTGTATTTAAAACCTGCAGTCCCTCTTCCCCTAACCTGTATAGACTACACATTCCTAGGCTGAAGCATATTGTATAGTGCTGTGGCCTGGGCTCACTCGACTGCTCACAGAGATTCCCATTTTATAGTTGTCCTAATTTTGCATATATTTGTCGATCTTTTGTGTGATTATGCTTGTATATGTGGACTTGCTTCTCAAGGAGAGACTTTTGGTCCATGATATACTCTGGAGGGACGAGAAAGCGCCAACCTGTATACAATAGAAGAAAACTCCCTGAATTACGCTATTATCTCAGGCTAATTGAGATTATTTTACCATATTTTTGCATACACTATGACGCTTATATAAAAGTGTATTTACTTGCATTAATAACTTTATCTTTACTTGCCTATATGTACACAATAACAAGTTCATATTCGTGCATACATATTTGCACATCACATTTCACTATTTATATTTAATTAATTTTTGTTTTAAACAAGAGTCAATAGCAGATTATGGTTGCACATGCCTTTCAAATTCAATTGCCTCTATATATGGTATTGAACTTTGACTGCGTAAATTGTATTGCCCATTTCCAAACAGGGATGGTAGTGATTTACAACTTATTCTCAGGGTTCATTTATCGCGTCTATTTTTTATTGTTTCGCAACTTCGCATTCACGAATTTAATTATTCTCTGCTATATATATATATATATATATATATACTGCTTGTCGTGTCTATCATTATTTAGTAAATATTTGAGCTGTGCTTATAGAAAAATATAGTTTTGGTTTTCGTTTCTTGCTTAATTTCTTTATCCACATTTTAGTGGATCCGTGAATTATTTCAACATCGCGCAAAACTGAAATGATATGCGGATAATTCAGACCGCCTACAGCAAATGGACGATAAGGGAGAGTTAACATCAAATTGCATTTCGAGAAGGGACAAATCACTTTTTTATTATGCATATCCCTTTTATTCCATGTCGGTCACGCTTGATAACACGACTGGCATTTATAAATCCACAATTTGGGTCAGTTTTCTAAAGGCCATGACAAAATCGAATTGCTCTGCGGATATTACTTCAAACTCAGCTTCATTCACTTTAGATGCATATCTTCACTAATGGAGTCGAGGGTTACTTATCAGAAATTTTTAGCAATTTAATTTATTTCCAACTTATGTTTTTTTTTATTTGTCGGGTTCCAGTGCGGAAGAGACATAGCCTTCTATATCATTTCCCACATTTAAATAATTGATATAATCTAGCTAGTGAAGGATTTTACTCAATTTACTATATATATATGTATATACTTCCTGTTATGTCAAGCTTCTATGCAAAAATGAGAGGAAACATGATTGGAAGGGGGAAAATTATCTACCTTTTTATATATTACATCTAGGCTCACGTATGATTTGAGTCATATTTTAACCCCGGATGATCTCCTGAAACTATAAAAGATGACATACAAAATGTCAAAAAAGATATCTGACTTAATCAGAAAAAGGCACCAGAATAATCTGAATAAATACGGGATCTATAAC